TGTCTATCCACCTGAAGCAAGATGGCAAACAGGCATGTATAGGGATACAACACATCAAACTCTTAGAAAGTATACAGGGAGGGCCGGGCGCGGTGGCTCACGCCTGTAATCCCAGCACTTTGGGAGGCCGAGGCGGGTGGATCACGAGGTCAAGAGATCGAGACCATCCTGGTCAACATGGTGAAACCCCGTCTCTACTAAAAATACAAAAAAATTAGCTGGGCACGGTGGCGCGTGCCTGTAATCCCAGCTACTCAGGAGGCTGAAGCAGGAGAATTGCCTGAACCCAGGAGGCAGAGGTTGCGGTGAGCCGAGATCGCACCGTTGCACTCCAGCCTGGGTAACAAGAGCAAAACCCCATCGCAAAAAAAAAAAAAAAAGAAAGTATACAGGGAAATATAAATTTTGGAATTTACTAGTCAAATAAAACAGTAACAACAACAACAAAACAACATGAAAAACTGAGAACTCTGTACATAGGACGCCCGTCTTCAACTGGTACACACAAATGAGTGCTTAGCAAACAGTGTGGTCACAGTGCAGTTGGCACTTAGATGAGACACTAGCTTGGAAAGCTGTCATCTAATTTTCCTTTTGACTTAGCTTCAAGATGCCTGCCTGTTCACTGAAGACACAGCATCTGATTATTGGGTGCAGATGAACACGGGGTCTTAACATGACAGTGTGAAAGACAGGATGATACAGAGACTTATAGCATCTCATTTTTCATTAGGAGCCTTGCAGAAACTAGATTATGAAAACAAACTCAAACAGAAACAATGTCTAATTTTAAATATATGTAAATATATGAGACATTTAACATCTATGTTCTGACTTTGGAGGCAATATGTGACCATTAAATGCTCAAGCTTTAGAGTTCATTAAGGCTGGATTTGAATCTTGCCTCTAACACTAAAAATCATTATTAGCTTGAGTAGAGTTTTAACCCCCAAGATTCTCAGTGTTTAGAAATGTGAAATGTGAATAACAGTAACATCATCTGGGGGTGGTGTAAGGAAGAATGAATAAGAAAAAGTACGTAAAGTACACATAATTTACATTTAGCACACTCACTGTCTTTGTGAATTTGGGGGAATATTTTTAAACTCTATCTTAGTTGTCTCTTATGTAAAACGAGGCTGAGAATAGCATCAATCATGACTGTTATGAGGAAAGAATGCAATAATATACATAAAGAACACAGGTTTTAAAACCAGCACCTAGTAAGTGCTTAAAAAGTAGAAATACAGGGCTGGGCGCGGTGGCTTACGCCTGTAATCCCAGCACTTTGGGAGGCCGAGGCGGGTGGATCACGAGGTCAAGAGACCGAGACCATCCTGGTCAACATGGTGAAACCCCATCTCTACTAAAAATACAAAAAATTATCTGGGCATGGTGGTGCATGCCTGTAATCCCAGCTACTCAGGAGGCTGAGGCAGGAGAATTGCCTGAACCCGGGAGGCGGAGGTTGCGGTGAGCCGAGATCGCGCCATTGCACTCCAGCCTGGGTAACAAGAGCAAAACTCCGTCTCAAAAAAGAAAAAAAATAAATAAAATTTATGTCACTATTATTATACTGTCTCTGTGGGGATTTGTATGCCTGCTCTGATTAACTGCTATCTCATATTCTGTTTACCTTGTTGATGGAAACCCTAGATTGAGTTGGTATGGGCAGCCTTTTATTCAAGAAACTTCTCTATTCACTTCTGCCACTTACTGACAAGAACACCTTGAAGTATTATCTTCTCAAATTCAGTTAAGTAAAACAGTCCCACAACAAGAGTAGAATTTAGATGAGGAAAACATAATCTTTGGTTGAATAATGTTTTAAATCACTAACTAATTTTTTTTTTTCTCAGAGTAAATTATCTCCCCTACCATCCCTGCTCCTGATTGATGTCAATTTGTGTTTCTGGCTTTAGGTGTACAGAACAGAAGAAATCAATGATAAGAATAGGCTGCTTTTCTAAATCCCAACGCATATAGAATGCATACCATAGAGTAAATCTTTGGGAAACCCTCTGATCAGTGTAACAAGACTATGCTCATCTGGGGAGGCACCAAGAAAGTAGTTAGACAGACACTGTATTTATAGACAATAGCTGGACACCCAAGAAGAATGGCTGCATTGTGTGTTTAGGTGCAATGAGGCCATGAAGGGATAAGATACTCCTAGGATTCCTGTGCTCCAAGAAAGTTCACATATAGCACAACAATTTGTATAGCTGTAGCAAGGGTTGTGATTCATATTTTACCAGGTGCGACTTAGAAATTCTCACATAAGCCTTTCAAAGAAATATGAGTGATAAGAGCATAGTTATTTGAAGATGCCACTTAAGTCACTGAAAAGGCACAAAGAATATGGATCTTAGGTTGCAATGACTAAGCAAGGGCTCCTTCCATAGCCACCTGTGCCAAGATGGCAAAAAGACACAGGTTCTATTCCTCAAACAACACCTGCATAAACGATGGAGGGAAATACAGCTTTTTGAAGCTAACTACAAACTACAACAATGAAAACAAACCAAAAAAAATCAAAATAGAGAATCCTTATATATATAAAATCCTTGCATATATAGAAAGCAAGCTTCCAGAGTGTGTACGTGGTGGCTGGGGGTATCTGCCGCTGGGTCAGAATGCAGCTTGGGACTTGAGTGAAAAACAACTATAAAAAATAGTGATTTAATACTTTCATTTTTCCTCCAAGTTTCCTGCCCTTTCACCACAGACACAGGCTTCTGAACCCTCAGTGCAGGTGACTACAAGGATCATATCACTGCTGAGCAAAAGGTAATCTGGAATAAGAATTGATGCACATAGCATGAACTGACTCTCTTTCCCCTCTTGTATTCAGTTCCTCTGGGGTAGATGCTACCTACCACCTGGGCTTATGGTATAGAAAGGGAAATCACCCCCACACTCCAATTGTTCAAATGCTATTAGAAAAAGTAAAGGGAGCTAGGAAAGCTCATAAATGGAGGGCCAGAAAGAACCAACAATCGGAGGATCTCATCTAATCCGAAATGTGGGTACCAATGAGCACTTCCCTAGGAATGGATTTAGGCTATCACCTGTGGAAAGCTGGGTTAGAGAAGAGCCTGGAAAAGTGATCCCAGCAAAGGGAGCAATCTCTATGCTAAAGCTTCTGATTTGGGAAAGAGCGTGGACGGATTAAAATAAAACCTGGAGTGTGGTCATGAACGAAGTGAAAGGATGAAAGGTAACTGGAATATAGATAATAAACACATTCTTGTATTCATCTTGCTTCATCTGGCTACTTCCCCCGATCTCTCTCCACACCTGGACCAACAGAAGACAGTAATCCTCTTGAGTCAGGAAGGATTTCATGAACGTCTATCTTGTAAATATCAAAAGCCACAGAATCTAGTAGAGTGTCAATGAATATACTTAATTACCAGTGAGAAATTTAATCACATACATTTTATTTGATTAAATTACTCTTTTTCTTTCTCGGAGCTCTTCAGGCTCCAGGAAACCCAGCTCTATGTTGCTTTAGATATTTTGATCATCACTTTGCCAGAAAGATTCTTTAAAATCCACAATTCCAGATACAGAATTCTGCTGTTTTGTAGTCTGCATCAGCCAGCTAGAATGCTTCAAGGGTCTCAAATATATTTAGAAATATTCAAGAATTTACCTTGGCATTACCAAGTAAGTGATTTTTTAAAATACCCTGTACCAAAGGCAATGAAGTATAACTTCCTTTATTTTCACTATATTTTACCTTTTTTGTTATTTATTAATATTAGTTTAATTTCCACAGCTATACCACTTCTGGCATTCATTTATTTAATACAGAAAATGTACTCTGTTAGAGATGCAAATGAAAAGATTCTACTTCTGGAGAGTGTTTTACTTATTAGAACACATTCTGATCACCCATGGTCACCACATTTTTTATCAGAAGGTTTACAAAGCATGGGGTATGAAACCTTTATACAAGCAATAAATAAATTACTAATGCAGCATACGTAAACTTCTAATCTAAAGCCACATATCAACATTAATTTTTCAAGTTTTAGGTTTCAATAAGACTGGATATAAACCATGACTCTAGCGTTCTTTGAAAGTTTGAGGAAGATTTTTAACCTTGGTGTACCTCTATTTTCTTCTATGTGAATTGGGGCAGAAAGTAGTATCCTCCTGATAGTTATGAAGAAAGAATGAGATATTGTATATCAGGAACAACATATAAGAATCAACACCTAGTTAAGTGCTGAAAAAGTAGAAATATAATTATTGTTATTGTTGTTCCATGTTGTAGACTGTTTTTTTTTTTTAGGTTTGCTCTCATCCACAGATATAACTTGAGCTATGCTGACCCTGTAAAGGAAAATCTCAGATCAAGGAAGTATGAGGAACATCTTATAAAATAAATCTCTCTGTTTACTTTGGTGAAATTAGTAATTTAATCTTATTGACAGGAGACCCTGTGAAAGCAAAGAATAGGAGACACATCAGTTCCAGTATCTTGTATCAGTGAGAACTTTCCAGAGGAAAAAATTTAAGTTGGAACATAAAACTTGAGATTCCCACCAATGATGAGATTGGAGAAATAGATAACCATCAAGAAAATAGCATGTGTCAAAATACGTAATGTGGGTAGAAACTTGGAACTATGGAAATAAAATCAGAAATATTACAAGTAAGCAAAGGGGAAATGGGTAAAAGAAACTGGAATATAGCATCTGAACACATTTTTGTCTTCATCTCTGCTTACCTGGCCACTCTCCCTTACCCTCTCTACAACTGGAGCAATACAAGATAGTAATCCTCTTGAGGTCAGCAATCACTATATAAATGAATGCCTTTTAGATAGTAAAGATTATAACGTCATGCTATCTCACTGTATGAACTGAATAAATGATTCAGTGTCATAATTTCATACCGAGATTATACACAGAGATTACAGCAACAGTCTAATAATCCCTGTGAATTACGGTTGGGAGACGGGAGGCATGGGACCCAGGAAATTGTACCTTGATGATGGAACTTCTGGATGCGGTTATTGGTGGCATCTGAGGAGTCTGAGGATGGCTCTCAGGGAGGGTTGTGCTGGCCTCTGAAGTATTTAGAAGCTGACTCTGCTCCGGAGGTAGTTTCATGCTCTTGGGGTTATAATTTCTCGGGTTTGTTTTTTTCTTTACCTGAAAGTATTCATTTTCTGTTTAATGGCTTTCAATATTAGAGGAAGCACAACATCTTTTCATTTGTGAGAATACCATCCTTTATTAGATTCTAATAGGCCTCATTACTTCCAAACATGGTCTCTCTAATGTATCCCTTCAGGCAATTATCAGAATATTTTTTTTTCCTAAAATGTGAAATCATCAAGCATTCTTCTTCCTAAAATCTTTCAATATTAACGTACTGATGCTTTTACATTGGAGACTCCATTTCGATCTTTATGACAAAAGCCAGCTTGCTGGAGGGCTGCTTTTTACCTGTCTTGCATCATTTCCCTATACCTTTCTACATATACCATTGTTATATATAACTCACTATGCTGTTTCACATTTTTAACATTTGCATGTAACATTTTCTCTGCCTAGAAATCTTTCCCATGTTTGTCTTTATCTTGCTAAGAGCAATAGTACCTATTGCATATTGATTTCCCATAATATACAAGGCAATGGGATAAGAAATGTATATCCATTATCTCATTTAATTTTTAAACCAATCTTATGAGAAACATTTAAGGCATTTTCCTAATATCAGGAAACAAATGTGCCAGATGTGGACCAAATCTATCCTACTCCAAAGCCCTTGCTTTTGACCACTATGTTAGATTGGTTCCCTACCCTCCTAATTTCTTCAAATATTTTATTTTTTTAGCATGAGTTCTATAACCTTTTGAAGGCTTAATTCTCTTAATATATCTTAATACGTTTCTCTATTTAAACGTGAGTAGAACATTCAAAATGGCACCTTTGAAGGAAGTGGGTTGCTGCTGCAGGCTCCAGGAGACAGCTGAAAAACCGTGAGTGCCCGAAGTGTGAAAGTCTACACAGCAACTGAACTGAGTACGAGGCAGCCCAGCAGTACCTCTGCAGGCAGACAAGGGACAAACTGCCTCCTCAAGGGGCTCCCTGCCCTGTATAACCAAAAAAAACGCCTCACACAGGAGAGCTCAGGCTGACACCTCATGGGTAACCTTCTGAGACAAAGCAACCAGAGGAAAGATCAGGCAACAATCCTCACTGCTCTGCAGCTGCCCTGGGTGATTCCCAGGCAAACAAGGTCTGGAGTGGACCTCCAACAGTCCTACGGCAGAGAGGCCTGACTGTTAGAAGGAAAACAAACAAATAAAAACAGAAAGAAATAGCCTCAACATCAACAGAAACGACACCCACTCAGAGACTCCATCTGAAATCACCAACTTCAAAGGCAGATAAATCCACAAAGATGGGAAGAAAACAGCACAAAAAAGGATAAAATCATCAAAGAACAGAACGCCTCTCCTCCTCCAAGGTATCACAACTCCTCACCAGCAAGAAAACAAAACAGGATGGAGAATGACTTTGACAAATTGACAGAAGCAGGCTTAAGAAGGTGGGTAATAACAAACTTCCCTGAGCTAAAGGAACATGTTCTAACCCAATGCAAATAATCTAAAAACCTTTAAAAATGGTTACACAAAATGCTAACTAGAATAACAAGCTTAGAGAAGAACATAAACAACTTGATGGAGCTGAAAAACACAGCACGATAACTTCATGAAGCATACACAAGTTTCAATAGCCGAATGGATTAAGCAGAAGAAAGGATATCAGAGATTGAAGATCAACTCAATGAAATAAAATGAGGAGGCAAGATTAGAGAAAAAAGAGTGAAAAGAAATGAACAAAGCCTCCAAGAAATATGGGATTATGTGAAAAGACCTAACCTACGCTTGATTGGTGTACCTAAACATGATGAGGAGAATGAATCCAAGCTGGAAAACACTCTGCAGGATATTAACCAGGAGAGCTTCCCCAACCTAACAAGGCAGACCAACATTCAAATACAGGGAACACCATATATTCCTCAAGAAAAGCAACCCCAAGGCATATAATCTTCAGATTCACCAGGGCTGAAATGAAGGAAAAAATCCTAAGGGTAGCTAGAGAGAAAGGACGGGTCACCCACAAAGGGAAGCCCATCAGACTCACAACAGATCTCTCCACAGAAACCCTACAAGCCAGAAGAGTGTGGGGGCCAATATTCAACATCCTTAAAGAAAATAACTTTCAACCCAGAATTTCACATCCGGCCAAACTAAGCTTCATAAGTAAAGGAGAAATAAAATCTTTTACAGACAAGCAATTGCTGAGGGATTTTGTCGCCACCAGAACTGCCTTACAAGAACTCCTGAAGGAAGCACTAAACATGTAAAGGAACAACTAGTACCAGCCACTGCAAAAACATACCAAATGGTAAAGACCAAGGACGCAATGAAGAAACTGCGTCAACTCATGGGCAAAACAACCAGCCAGTAACAAAATGGCAGGATCAAATTCACACATAACAATATTAACGTTAAATGTTAATGACCTAAATGCCCCAATCAAAAGACACAGATTGGCAAACTTTTTAGTCAAGACCCATCGGTGTGCTATATCCAAGAGACCCATCTCATAAGCAAAGATATACACACACTCAAAAGAAAGGGATGGAAGAAGATTTACCAAGCAAAGGGACAGCAAAAAAAAGCAGGAATTGCAATCCTAGTCTCTGATAAAATGGTCTTTAAACCAACAAAGATCAAAAGAGATAAAGAAGGGCATTACATAATGGTAAAAGGATCAATGCAACAAGAAGAGCTAACTAGCCTAAATATATATGCACCCAATACAGGAGCACCCAGATACATAAAGCATGTTCTTAACAACCTACTAAGAGACTTAGACTCCCACACATTAATAGTGGGAGACTTTAACACTCCACTGTCAATATTAAACAGATCAAGGAGACAGAAAATCAACAAGGATATCCAGGACTTGAACGCAGATCAGGACCAAGCAGACCTAATAGACATCTACAGAACTCTCTACTCCAAATCCACAGAATATACATTCTTCTCAGCACCACATCGCACTTACCCTAAAATCGATCACATAATTGGAAGTAAATCACTCCTCAGCAAATGCAAAAGAACAGAAATCATAACAGTCTCGCAGACCACAGTGCAATCAAATTAGAAATCAGGATTAAGAAACTCACTCAAAACTGCACAACTACATGGAAACTGAACAACTGGCTCCTGAATGACAAATGGATAAACAATGAAAAGAAGACAGAAATAAAGATGTTCTTTGAAACCAATGAGAACAAAGACACAACGTACCAGAATCTCTGGGACACATTTAAAGCAGTGTCTAGAGGGAAATTTATAACAATAAATGCCCACATGAGAAGTGAGGAAAGATCTAAAATCAACACCTTATCATCAAAATTGAAAGAGCTCAAGGAGCAAGATCAAATAACTCAAAAGCTAGCAGAAGACAAGAAATAACTAAGATCAGAGCAGAACTGAAGGAGATAAGGGCACAAAAAAACCCTTCAAAAAAAATCAATAAATCTAGAAGCTAGTTTATTGAAAAGATCAACAAAATAGACATACCCCTAGCCAGACTAATAAAAAAGAAAAGAGGGAAGAATCGAATAGATGTGATAAAAAATGATAAAGGGGATATCACCACCAATTCCACAGAAATATAAACTACCATCAAGAGATTACTACAAACAACTCTATACACATAGATTAGTAAATCTGGAAGAAATGGATAAATTCCTGGACACTTGTGTCCTCCCAAGTCTAAATCAGGAAGTAGTTGAAACCCTGAATAGACCAATAACAAGGTCTGAAGTTGAGGCAGCAATTAATAGCCTACCAACCAAAAAAAGTCCAGGTCCAGACGGGTTCCCAGATGAATTCTACCCGATATCCAAGAGGAGCTGGTACCACTCCTCCTGAAACTATTCCAAACAATACAAAAAAAGGGCGTCCTCCCTCTCATTTTCTGAGACCAACATCATCCTGATACCAAAACCTGGCAGAAACACAGTTAAAAAAGAAAACTTCAGGCCAATATCCATAATGAACATTGATCCAAAAATCTTCAATAAAATACTGGCAAACTGAATGCACAGCACATCAAAAAGCTTATCCATGACAATCAAGTAGGTTTCATACTGGGGATGCAAGGCTTATTCAACATAAGCCAATCTATAAACATAATCCATCATATAAACAGAACCAAAGACAAAAACCACATGATTATCTCAGTAGATGCATAGAAGACCTTCGACAAAATTCAGTGACCCTTTATGCTAAAACTTTCAATAAACTAGGTATCAATGGAACGTATCTCAAAATAGTGAAAGCTATTTATGACAAACCCACAGCCAATATCATACTGAATGGACAAAAACTGGAAGAATTCCCCTTGAAAACTGGCAATAGACAAGGATGCCCTCTCTCATCACTCCTATTCAATATAGTGTTGGAAGTTCTAGGCAGGGTAATCAGGCAAGAAAAAGAAATAAACCATATTCAATTAGGAAAGGAGGAAGTCAAATTGCCTCTATTTGCAGATGACATGATTGTGTATTTAGAAGACCCCATTGTCTCTGCCCAAAATTTCCTAAAGCTGATAAGCAACTTCAGCAAAGTCTCAGGATACAAAATCAATGTGCAGAAATCACAAGCATTCCTATACACCAATAACAGACTTAAAGAGAGCCAAATCATGAGCGAACTGCCATTCACAATTGCTACAAAGAAAATAAAATACCTAGGAATACAACTAACAAAGGAGGTAAAGGACCTATTCAAGGAGAACTATAAACCACTGCTCAATGAAATAAGAGAAGATACAAATAAATGGAAAAACATTCCATGTTCATGGTTAGGAAGAATCAATATTGTGAAAATGGCCACACAGCCCAAAGTAATGTATAGATTGAACGCTATCCTCATCAAGCTATCATTGACCTTCTTCACAGAGCTGGAAAAAAACCACTTTAAACTTTATGTAGAACCAAAAGAGAGCCTGCATAGCCAAGACAATTCTAAATAAAAAGAAGAGGCATCACACTACCTGACTTCAAACTATACTACAAGCCTACAGTAATCAAAACAGCCTGGTACTGGTACCAAAACAGAGATATAGACCAATGGAACAGAACAGAGGCCTTGGAAGCAATATCACACATCTACAACCATCTGATCTTTGACAAATCTGACCAAAAAAAAGCAATGGGTAAAGGATTCCCTGTTTAATAAATAGTGTTAGGAAAACTGGCAAGCCATGTGCAGAAAGCAGAAACTGGACCCATTCCTTACACCTTACACTAAGATTAACTCCAGATTGATTAAAGATTTAAACATAAGACCTAACACCATAAAAACCCTAGAAGAAAACATAGGCAATACCATTCAGGACATAGACATAGGTAAGGACTTCATGACTAAAACACCAAAAGCAATCGCAACAAAAGCCAAAATAGACAAATGGGATCTAATTAAACTGCAAGTTTCTGTACAGCAAAAGAAACAATCGTTAGAGTGAACCGGCAGCCAACAGAATGGGAAAAACTTTTTGCAAGCTACCCATCTGACAAAGGGCTACTATCCAGAATCTACAAAGAGCTAAAACAGATTTACAGGAAAAAAAAACAAACATGCACACCCGAAAGTGGGTGAAGGCTATGAACAGACACTTTTCAAAAGAAGACATTTATGAGGCTAAGAAACATATGAAAAAAAGGTCATCGTGACTGGTCATTTGAGAAATACAAATCAAAACCACATTGAGATACCATCTCACGCTGGTCAGAATGGCAATCATTAAAAAATATGGAGACAACAGATGGTGGAGAGGATGTGGAGAAATAGAAACACTTTTAAACTGTTGGTGGGAGTGTAAATTAGTTCAACCATGGTGGAAGACAGTGTGGCGATTCCCCAAGGATCTAGAAATAGAAATTCCATTTGACCCAGCAAACCCATTACGGGGTATATATCCAAAGTATTATAAATTGTTCTATTATAAAGACACATGCACACGTATGTTCATTGTGGCACTGTTTACAATAGCAAAGACCTGGAACCAACCCAAATGCCCATCGATGATAGACTGGACAAAGAAAATGTGGCACATATCCATCATGGAATATTATGCAGCCATCAAAAACGATGAGTTCATGTCCATTGTAGGGACATGGATGAATCTGGAAACCATCATTCTCAACAAACTGACACAAGAACAGAAAACCAAATACTGTATGTTCTCACTCATAGGCAGGTGTTGAACAGTGAGAACACATGGGCACAGGAAGGGGAACATCACACATTGGGGTATGTTGCGGGGTGAGGGGTTAAGGAAGGGACAGCGGGAGTCGGGGAGGTTGGGGAAGGATAACACTGGGAGAAATGGCTGATGTAGGTGACGGGAGGATGGCGTCAACAAACCACCATCTCATGTGTGTATCTATGCAACAAGCCTGCAAGATCTGCACATGTACCCTAGAACTTAAAGTACAATAAAAAAAAAGTAATTACTAAAATAATTTAGCTGAACTACTGTGTTCCTAAACAAAGCTACCATTTGTAACAACAACAACAAATTCAAAATGGCAACAGTATAAAATCATGTGCTGTAAGGAAACTTAACAAGTGAATACCTGAATTCATATTAACAAATTGGAGCGCTTCCTTTGCATAAACCTTTGCCTGTGAAACATAATTTTGATCTTTGCAAATAATTTTAATTTTCAAGCTAGGAAATTTTATGGATCACTAAATACATGTGTATTTTAATGTTACAAACTACAAAGTGTCATACACACACACAACATTTTCCAGTCCACAAATGGAGAACAGGTGATCTTAAATCCCAACCCTGCAATCACATAAAAGTTTATGTAAAATTGAGAGTTTAATTTTTTTCAATTAAGGTCAGCTTTTCTTTCTTTTAAAAATTGTATCCTTCCTATCATATCATCCCATTCAAATAGATAAATAAATAAATAAAATGTGAGTACAAGGATAGCATCTGTTTTCTCGTGCCTTCTGCTAGGCTTCGTAAAAAAAATAAATAAACACCCACAAATCTGTTTTTCCCAAAACTTAAAGCAAATCATTTCCACTTTGGAAAACTAATATTTACCTATTTAATTCTCACCTCGATAAAACTATGCATTTCTGAAATCAGTTTTGACATCTGGTTCTTTTTTCTAAGTCGGAAGCAGAAAAGATGGAGCTTATCTCCATCTTCACAGGGGATATTGTGACATTGTCCTGTCCCCACTACATCCATTTTTCCTCTGTCATCCTCAATTTCATAGGTTGTACTCTTCTGTTTTTCATTTACTTCTTTCTGTAACAGAAAATCAATATTCTGTTCCTGAGAATGTAATTAATAACAACCACATAGAGAATAAATTCCCTTGTAAGAGAGTTAAGCAAGATACAGGACAGCACCTCCTAGTGCAGATATGTATAGGAGGCCAGATCTTTGCAGAGAGCCCTCCCTCAGTATCCTTTTTGTTTAAGTCTTTCATGTCTGAGGTATTTCTATAACAGTTCTAGAACATTGAGCTTTCTTTCTAGTTTCTATTGTTTTTACCCCCAGGGCAGCTATACTTCCCAACGTGCCTTGATACAGAAGAATCTGAAGCCCCCGATAGCCTTTTGGGGCCTCTGGTCCGCTACAACTACTTATTCAGTGAATTATGAGGTACCTGTAAGAAAAAGCAAGCTTCTAGTAACTCTCTAATGACTTTTTCTACCGTCTGCATTTTCTGAGTCTCTTCCAGTATTTGTACCCCCTCCTGAACCCAAGTCCTTGAGCTCAACCATTCCAGCTTTTTGCTTGTTACTCATCATTCTAGAAGGGGGTACATAAGAATCATCTCGCCGGGCGTGGTGGCTCATGCCTGTAATCCAAGCACTTTGGAGGCCAATGTGGGTGGATCACTTGAGGTTGGGAGTTCAAGATCAGCCTGACCAACACGGTGAAACCCCATCTTTATTTAAAAAAATATATATATGAAAAAAATCATCTCTTTTAGAGTGTGTACAGAAAGTAACTCAGGTTAAATAAAGAGTTGTTTCAGAAAACAAATATAATGAGTAGTGAACTATCGATCAGATAAGAAATTGCTTGAATCAATGGCAGAGGATGGATTTTTTTGGAGCTGGGGGTTGAAAGTCTCATACTAACTAGTTTCATGAATTTGAAAAGAACATATCAGGAAAAGCGCTCTGTGCTCTATTTTTTGGTTACTTATATATAAACGACAAATTTAGATTACCCGATTTTCCAAGTATCATCAAAATTCATATTTCTCAATTGTTCAACTTATTTTTGATGAATCAGTTTACTTGGTCAGGACATTGTCTTGCTTACTTCCTGCATTTGTTTTTCAGGCATGAACAGTCGATTCATTTCTTGCTCTGTCATAACCAGAACTCAAGCCTTGGAGGACAATACTTCAATCAAAATGAAAATAATGTGATTTTTACTACAGTAGCGATAATAGTCAAAGGGATAAACGTAGTATTATGTGTGTATGGATCTAGACCTCACACTGTCCTTGGTCATTGTGACTTAGCGTAGATAATAACAAGTGATAAAATCTTAAGTTAAGGTTTCTCAATCATTGTAAAGATTAAGGTTTAATGCTCTGGGAAGGAGAACATGGGAAAGAAACATTAACAGGTCCCCCAATCTCAGTCATAACTTCAGAGATGGCTTTATCCACCTGTCATTAGTCTTGAGAGTCCTGGATTCTAACATCCAGTTTATAGGCAAAGCTTCATCTCACACATCAAGGTTTTTAATGTCAGGTGTTGGTGAAAAAATGAAACAAAACAATTAACAGGACTTACCTTATGTAGTGTAAATATCCCATATACAGTATTTCCTGAAGCTTGTTTGTGAAGAATATCAATCTTCAGAGTTTCCTTTGCTCTGCTGATGATTTTATTTGGAACTTCAAGCTGTTGGTCAGGACCAGCTTCAGATACAGAAGATCCTTCATTGACCTCTAGGAGATTATCATATTCCAAATAATCTGATATGGCGATGATTTTCTTTCCACTGAATTTCTCCTTCAAGTTGATGTTTAAAACCTTCACGTGGAAGAACTGTGTTGGTGTAGCCACTGTAGCATGAAACATCATTTTTTTCTCCTTTTCTGGGGTCTCATATCCAAATGGCTTTGTTGCACTCAGTACCTTCACTATCATTGGGCCCTTTTTGGGAGTATTTCTTCTGGCAGTTACCTGACGTTTGACCACTGGTTTCGGGCTCTGTGTATGACAGCACAGGAGAACAAAGAAAAATGTCTAACTGAGAAATACAGAACTGCTATTCAGTGACCTCAGTGATAACACAGGACCCCAAAACTTGCAGAGATGTTTAGAGCTGGAGTCAGGGTAGAGAGGGATGGCTAGCCAGGGCAGAAGATAAATTAAATTGGTATAATAGCAAGAGGAAGTCATAGAGGAGACCATATGGTGAAAAGACGACCTTTCTCTAAACAAAATCATCCTTAAGAAGTAAAGCATAAGAGCAACACAAGACCAGTGGATACTAAAAACTGTCATGAAGTACCTTAAAATAACTTTTAGGGCCAGGCGCCGTGGCTCATCCCTGTAATTCCAGTACTTTGGGACACTGAGGCAGGTGGATCACCTGAGGTCAGGAGTTTGAGACCAGCCTGGCCAATATGGTAAAACCCTGACTCTACTAATAATACAAAAATCAGCTGGGTGTGGTGGCGGGCATCTGTATCCCAGCTACTTGGGAGGCTGAGGCAAGAGAATCGCTTGAACCGGGAGGCGGAGGTTGCAGTGAGCCGAGATCATACCACTGCACTTCAGCCTGGGTGACAGAGCAAGACTCCATCTCAAAAACAACAACAAAAATAAAAAATAAATAATTTTAGAATGAAATAATGAATTACACTATTTCTCTTGCCAGCTTAAAGTGCTAAAGCCTAAAAATAGACAAAGTTAAATGACACTTAAAATGAAAAGTGGTGCCCACCACAAACTGTAGACTTTAAGAGTGTTCAGTTATCACCAGTGTAGACAAGGCAATTTTGAGAGCACACCTCATAGTGTCCCTGCCTAAGATTCAGTTAACTTACAGCAGGTGAGAACATGTTAAACCCCTCAGAATGCCATCATCCCAGTCGGCTCAGGCTGGAGACACTACAGCGCATTCCCACCACCATAGCCTTTCTCAGTGTCAGGGCTCTTGCTGCCAGCATACTAACAGAAACCTGGGGCTCACAGTGGCTTTCCTTCAATATCTTTTCTCTGGAACATCTTGGTCTCCTTGGATTGCAATACAACACTTTTAATGAAGGGGAGTTGTTTAATCTATTAAAAAAAAGTGCTGAAGGCATGGATGACCTCATTCACAAACTAGCAGGTGCTGGAGAGGTCTGACATGGGATACTACAGTGAGCCAAGGGAAGAGGTGAAGGAGATGAGAGCAGTAGACAGTGAGCCCACAGCTGACAGTTGTGTACTCCACAGCTCCCTCTCCCTTCCCCACACAATACAGGACAGAAAACTTCCTGAAGTCAGAGATAATGCCAAGTTCATCGAGTATCCCTGTAGAAGCAATAGATTAAAATTTCTCAATACGTACATTCGATTAACTAGTAAATTATTGATGCAATTTAGTAACAGATGAAATCATTCCTGTACTTTGGGTTGAAGAAAACAAAGCAAAGGGGGACCAGGAAGAGCGTACCTCGATGGAGAAAGCGTTGGGTGGAGCTGATGATGAGGGCTGGGGAGGTGGGGAATGGCCCACAGCTGTGAACACGCTGGCTCCAGCAGGACAGGGAGGCTGTATCTGCTCCTCCGACATCTTACTCTTTTTGGTTTCAGACTTTTTTTTTTTTCTTTTCTGCAAGTAGTTTGATTTTTCTGTTATTCATTTTCAGTGCCAATTGAAGTAGAGCACATTTTCATTATTGGGTAGCAGTTTTATGATACCTAACAAGATGCTTCTTGGAAACTTGAGAGGGTGCTGCCCATCTCAGGCCAGCTGTGAGACGTGGGAATAGGTAGTTTCATTAAACAAAGAGGAGAATGTTATGCACATTATTTCTCAAATTATTTCTGTTATGGGACGTGCTGACTTGGGATTAGAAAAACTAGGTTTTTATAAACTAGGACAAAGTATTTACTTTTCTCATGCTTACAGTCCTCTCTACCAGAACAAAGATATCACATATATGTTATATATATTGGCATTATGTTTACTTATGTGTTTGGCTCACTCCTTTGATCATCAATAAGATGATCAATTATCATACAATTTGGTAAATCTAAAGCTTGATGGGAAACAGGAAGAAATAACTGTCTGCTCGAGAGGTTGAGTGGAAGAGCCACACAGAACTTCCTCTGCGGGACTTGAAGCTTGCTCTTCTTCCTGAGGCTTACCTGATCTCCAGGAGTTGCCTCTGCTCCTTTAGCTTTGACAGTGCTGATTGCGGAGGGTGCAGGTACAGCAGGATCCATTTCCTGCTTCCTCTTTTTTGATGGGGTTTGTCCTTGTGCTGGAATACATTCAATTTTATTCACAACCAATGCAGAAAAAAGGAAGATACATGAACGATCTCCGACAGCTGAAGCAGCTTCAACACAATTTGCTCTCACTTCCTGCTTGAGGGTTCAGCTGTGCTTTAGTCTACGTCTACTGCGTTAGCCCAGCCTGGCCTCAAGGAGACCAGCAGTCACAAGACCGGCACGGATCATGCTCCTCTGCGCTTTCCTCACTCCGCCCCTGTGCACTGAGCACATGCTTCCTGTGCTCTGAACTCCACGTGCCTCGGTCAACCTTTTCCCAAGTTAAAATTTAAAAATTTTTAAAGTTTTAACAACTGTTTCCATGACGCGGACTGCTTGGTCACGTTCCCCAGGTAAGCTATCCCAATTATAGAAACCAGTGAAAGGTTTCCATGAGGCAGGATATACTTACTTTGGACTTAGACTTTTTAAAGTCCTTTTTTTAACTCAATGCAACAGAGGAGAGATCATATTTCTGAGAGGCAGTCTCACATTTAAGTACTGCATTTTTTAAAATTATACAGGGTAATGCTGGGTTAAATAGTCTCAATAGAACAGATACATTAATTGGTTAAATGTGTATATCTTGAATTTAAACAATTTTTATGATTTTACCATCATATAATCTTTCTAATGTACTGGAAGTCTCAGTCCCCCTTCAACTCCCTCTCACTTTTGTTCTTCCACTAATCCCAAACACAAACTCTGAAATACATCAATCCACACTAGTAATGGAATGCACTAAATCGTCAACTCTTGGCATCTGAGGTACCAGCATTGTCTCAGCTGTTGAGTCACAAACTGGAGAAAACACATATCAACTGTGACGGGGTGGGGCTCTAATCAAGGTTGGGAAGGATTTGGGGATGGCTGCAGGGAGTCGGTGTTCCCTCTTCCCAATTACCTTTTAACTTCTCTTTTTTAAGAGTCTCAGCAAAGTCTCCAAGTGTTGGTATTTCTTTGATGATTTGTATTAGTTTGCCCAAACCAGCATCACCTGGGAACTTTTCTTCCAGCAAGTCAGCAATCTGAATTTTGTCATACTCGTCTCTCATTTTTGGATTAAGTTTCAAATCGCTGCTCAGTAAGGACTTAACCATTCTAAAATGATAATCGTTGATGCCCTCTAATCCTTTTAGTAGAACAATGTTCTTGTATTTTTTCCCCATCTTTGCAGATATAAGTGAGCCTACAAGAGAAAAATGGCATACGGTGTTACACATATATACAGACCATTTAAAAGAACATGAATGCCTATGTGAGTGAGTGGCCCATATGAAAGAGTTGTTCATGAATATGTGTAATAAAGAAGGACTTAATGACCGAATGTGCTACTGGAGAAATTGAGTGAAAAACTCCTGTGTTAGGAATGTCTAAGAAATTCTTCTCATTGAATGAGGATAGTGGAGTTGGTTCCATGTGTTAGAGGGACGTCTGAGAACAAACAATTGTGTCAGTGTTTAGAGTATTGGCTATGCAGTGTCAAAGCACTTGGTTTCTCTTTCTAGCCTTTGCTGGGGCTGGAGCCCATCCCCCAAAGCCTGCCTGTTGTTTCTTAAATCTTCCCACTATGACTGAAGCGGCCTATATGTAAATGGGCTGCAGCCTCCCACCTTACATGAATAACCTTCTGCTACAGCACCACAGTTTCACGCTGGGGCACCAACCCTATTCTTGAATCTTCCCTAGTTGGCTGTCATTAGCATCCTCCCTTCTTTGGTGCTAGACCATGGCTTCTGTTTTCCGTATCCATAAAACCATCGCTTTGCTGAAAATCCGCATGCTTTCCAGTGCAGCATCACAACATGTATTCACTGGAATTACTTCACTAGCTGTTTTATTTTTCTTCTTTCAGACTTGTCTATTTCTTTTCACACAGCCAGCTTTCTCTCTATAAGCCGCACCTCTCTTCCACTGAAATCCTTCAATTATTTCTCCTTTTTCTTTCCAAAAATTCCTTGCTTCCTGTACTGTCTCAGAGAGCGTTGAATAAGCTGCATCATTTTTACTTCTGGTACCTCCGTATTCCTCGTATCTCTGCTCCACAAAGACACAACACGCCTTACATCTTCGTGCCTCATGACTTTGCTTGTTCCTTCTTATTGCCTGGAAAGCCATTCCCACATTTTTTTCTTTGACTACTTCCCATACAAACTTAAGACTCAGCTGTGGCTTTGTCTCCTGGTAGATTTTAGAATCCTCTTATGGACAGAGTGTCACTCCTCTTGGCCTTTTAACATCTGTGCACTTCCATGATGACACTCAGTGCATGGTATGGATTCCAGTTTCTTTTTAAGTTAAGGAATGTTTTAAGATTAGGAATGATGTCTTTGTGTACCTTTTGTATAACCAAGATATTTAAATTTCTGGGGCTATTAACTGGGCCAGGCGTGGTAGCTTACACCTAAAATCCCAGCACTTTGGGAGGCCGAGGCGGGTGGATCACGAGGTGAAGAGATCGGGACCATCCTGGCCAACATGGTGAAACCCTGTCTCTACTAAAAATACAAAAAATTAGCTGGACATGGTGGCACATGCCTGTAATCCCAGCTACTTGGGAGGCTGAGACAGGAGAATCGCTTCAACCCAGGAGGCGGAGGCTGCAGTGAGCCAAGAATGTGCCATTGCATACCAGCCAGGTCAACAAGAGCGAAACCCTGTCTAAAAAAAAAAAATACAAAAAATTAGCCAGGCGTGGTGGCACATGCCTGCAGTCCCAGCCGTTTCAACCTGGGAGGTGGAGGTTGCAGTGAGCCAAGATTGCACCACTACACTCCAGACTGGGCCACAGAGCGAGACTGTCTCAAAGAAAAAAAAAAAAAATTGCTTCCTTTGTTTGCTTCCTTCTTACGAGAACATGAGTGTCCTTGGATTGAAAAGTTCCAAAGAAGGAGGGGCAAATCTACACAAAAACACATTATAGTGATACTGAAGGATATAATAAACAAAAATACTCTGAGAGCCCTCAGAAATGAGAAATAGATCAGCTACAAAGATTCAAGAATCAGATTGAGAGTGATTCTCAGTAGCAAAACTGTCTGAAGCAGGACAATGGAGTCATTTTTATGTAATGCTGGTCTAAAGTTCCATATCAATTAAGAAACCAAAAAAAAATTTTTAATGGAAAGTTTTGACTTATTTTGTGAGTGTGACAGCACAATTTATTTGCAAAATGAAAAGAGATTGGAGGTGACGGTAGGCTATGTATAATCTTTATTTCACTTAAATGTGAACCTTCACATGTTTTGTGCAATATTACTGCTTTTGATTTTGGAGTATTTATATGCCACTGGAGTTTCTAGTAAGACAATATTTAGAATATATATACTAAACAGCCTTTCTGAAGCCTCCAGATTCTTTATTTCAAAATATGTCTAGCTCCACAGTTACAGGAGAGGGGCTTTCATCTTGTCTTGAGGGAAAATATAATTTTAAATTTAGAATTTTAATTTAGGCAAAATGATATTTAAACAGAAGAGTCTCAAAAACTATCATCTGATACTCAGGGACTTTTTGCAAGACAAAGACTCATACCACACAAAAAAAATCTATTGAAAATAATATTTAATAAGAAAACAATAAATAAAATTTAAAATGCTGTCAGCCAAAAGATAGGAAAAGCGAAAAATATTCGTGTGCACGTGTCCTTATAGTAGAACTATAGTTCTACTATAAGGACACGTGCACACGAATGTTCATTGCAGCACTGTTTACGATAGCAAAGACCTGGAACCAACCCAAATGCCCATCGACGATAGACTGGATAGGGAAAATGTGGCACATATACACCATGGAATATTATGCAGCCATCAAAAACGATGAGTTTGGGACCTTTGTAGGGACATGGTTGAACCTGGAAACCATCATTCTCAGCAAACTGACAGAAGAGCAGAAGATCAAACACTGCATGTTCGCACTCATAGGCGGGTGTTGAACAATGAGAACACATGGACACAGGGAGGGGAGCACTACACACTGGGGTCAGTTGGGGGGAAATAGGGGAGGGACGGTGGGGGGTGGGGAGCTGGGGAGAGATAGCAAGGGGAGAAATGCCAGATGTAGGTGATGGGGAGGAAGGCAGCAAAGGACACTGCCACGTGTGTACCTATGCAACAATCCTGCATGTTCTTCACATGTACCCCAAAACCTAAAATGCAATAAAATAAATAAATTGGAAGAAAAAAAAAAAAAAGAAAAGCGAAAAATAAACTTTAGGTGTTCCTAATGTCTTAAAAAGAAAGCCCTGATCAAAGAGAATAGAAACAGAAATTCTAACAGCATGGTAAAGGGAGGGAAGAAAAAGAACAGGACAACTCACTAAAGTAATTATCTTAGACAGTGAGACAATATAGAAATGTCATAAATTGAAGATAGCAGATTGTTAATTACCAGCATACACCTAAAAGGTCTGATCTGCTAAGTGACATCTTTCATCAAATTTGATTTAAGAAATATAAATACATGTTAACAAAAGGTGAAAAAAATTGCTAAAAATTATCTTGCGAAGAATCACTAAAGAAAGCAAGCTTATCTATGTTTGTGTAAATTTAAATATACCTTAAGCCCAAAAGTAACTTCAGATACCTTATAATGATAAAAGGTTCAACTAGGAAATTATAACAGTTTTAGTTATAAATTTATCTAATTTTACTACAAAGCATTATTGTGAGAAAAAAAGAAAAAAATAATAAAATAAATGTATCTAGTTTATCTAATGATATTATTTATTATTATTTTATAATGCTTTGTGGTCCTATAATTATTAGTGTATATTTCTCTTTATATACACACACATGCACAGACATAACTACACACACATATATATATGAAATCTGTAATGATATAAGTTTGAACATAATAAACTTAACATTTATCTAATACATACATAAAATTCTGAAATCAACATTTTAAAATCTCACATTCCACTATACACACATATATTTCTATGTGTGTACGTTTGTATAAATGATTATATATGCATATATGTGTGTGTGAATATATATTATACATACACCTAATATATATGATTGTGAGAGAACTACAAGAAAAAAACATAAAAGATCAACATACTTATGAAAATATTAAGACACCATGTGCTTGAATAACTGTGAAACTAAAAAAACTTTTCCACTGTATGTGTACATTTGTTCTCATGTTTTTTAAAATTGGGATGATATCACATAGTACAGCTCTATGCTCAGATGTGTTTTTGACTTAATATTCTTTCATGATACTTTTTTCATGTCACTATCTTGAGAACCCACCACAGCTACCAAGTTTCCAACACTTCTTCTGGTCAAAATAACCAAAGCCGTCTTCTAAATATCAACGAATGCCAATACATACTCAGAAAATTAGTTTTAAAGTCTGCAATGGTTGGCCAGGCACGATGGCTCATGCCTGTAATCCTAGCATTTTGGGAGGCCGAGGTGGGTGGATCACCTGAGGTCAGGAGTTCAGGATCAGCCAGGCCATCACGGTGAAACCCCAACTTTAAAAAAAAAAAATCTACAGTGGTCAAAATGCATTTTCTCTTGTTCAGTCCTCAGTTGTGGTGGCGTAAAAGATGCCTGTTATCTTCCTAAGTAAGTGAAGGATTTATATCCAGCAACTCAGTTTTCACTTTTCTGAAACCCAGCCCTATTCCCATCCTCCTATGACCCTGAATAACCAATACTGATTGTCCCCTTGCCACTCTGGGGACTTCAAAGGAGTAACAAGACCTTATTTACAGAACTAGCAACAGTACTCACCTCACTGGAAATTTTTTCAACAGTGGTCCAGATCTTGAGATTTTTCAGAAATGCAGGAATCAATGCTTATTTTCTTCAAGTGACGAGATAAATCAGTAAAGTTCCCAGAAACAGAACTGCAGGATGTTGTAATTTCCTGCAATGCTAAGAAAATGAAGTATTTGCAAAGATAACAAGAAAAAAAGGCCTTGGTTGAGTCACCGAGTGATCTGACTAGTGCTGGCTCTCTACTGCTCTGCTACTGCCCAGAGAGACTGGAGTTAGGAAACAATGTGGAAACTCCTCCCACCACTGTTTTTAGGTTTCGTTTCTGTTAGAGAAAAGGAACAGTTTCCTTCTGAAGAGGGCTGAAGTGTGTGGTGAGAGGAAATGGGGGATGAGAAATTACTTTCATGGGTACAATGAACATTTGTCCTGTGATGTGTACACTAAAAGCTCTGACAGAATTACATTTGTATGTCATAAATGCATATAAATACAAATAAATCAGTATATATACATATATATATATATTTTTTTTTTTTGGTAGAAAATTTAATGGCTGAAACGAGTTCCAACATTAGAACTTTCTTACCCAGCAGACTTACATGTGGGTCCTTAGAAACCTATATTCCCTTAAATGATGCTCAAATATAAGAGAAGCAAGGTGGCTTCTCCCTCCTTTCCTGTGCACAGGGTGGCAGTGGTAGGAGATCTTGGTAGAAGCGTCTGGTACTACCAGTACTTTACTGCATCTCCTGGATGGGGAAATGCCTGGTATAAAATTGCTATTTGTTTAAATGTTACCTGAAGTATTCATCCAATTGTTAATAGTTGACACACCTGGGGCTTTCCAGATCAGAAGGTCAATATGAATATATAAATTGTTCCTCAAATTTATATAAAGGAGTTTAACACTAGCTGTCCTTTTGCCTATGACTAGGTTACTTTATCTCAATGATTAGATTTATGATTACTTATGTTTTCTGCATTATTCATGGGTAAACAAACACACGTGGACAGTAGGGCTCAGAGCTTGACAACAATGAAGACTTGAAAATCCTGGAAAATGCACTGAACTTCTGGTTCCTGTTTAATAGGAGCCTGTTTAATCCTTTGCTCAGCAATGTATTTTTCTCTGTAAAGGGCAGTGGGTACCGTTTAGAGTGCTGTAACCCCAGGAAGTCAAATAAATGGCATCATCTAGCAGATGATGTTGTGTTAACCCAGCAGCAGATCTGCAAGCAGGATGTGGCCATGATGGAAAGGAGACCCCATAGACAGTGAACGTGTACTATCCAAGGCCATCTATAGATCCAAAGAAAGCTGATTGTTTTAATCCAAACTAGGGCCATGGAGAGAATAGCTGAATTCTGGATTTGAAACTATATGAATAACTATCAAGAGGAGTAAGTCAAAAAAAAGCAAAGAGGATCTGGAATGATGGCAATAAACACTTCTGGGTTCATGATGATCTTTTACTGGCTTTGCGTTGCCGTTTATGTGGATACGTTGAGTTGGCCTTAAGGCAGTAGGTAGAGAGGGATATTAGGGAGGTCATGGAGATCCCCAATCCAGGGGTCAAAGGGTAGAGGACCCTTGGAAGTTATGACCATATTTAAAAACATTTTCTGTCTTTTTACTTAAAATCATTTTATATTCAGTAATGGCCTCAATTGGGACTCCAGTGTACAACACACAAATTACTGTCACCAGTAAAAAATTTAGGACAATGCTCCATAATTCACACTGTGAAGGTGAAATTTTCATAGATGAAGCAAAATGCTTGAAAATGTGCATTTCCTCCCACTCTGTGGCAGTGGCCAACAACTGGGAACTTGTGCTATCACACAGAAAGGTCATTAGTAGAATATACAAAAATTCCTGATAAAGCGAAAAATGTGTGAATGAACCTGTATTCCTTTTTATACTCTGATACTAATCCTCATGATCATTCAAAGTCCTCAGGAAGAGTTCCCATCAATTTGATATTCTAAGCAAAATGTTGCCAAATTCCTGCCAATGGGCCAATCCTAACACATCATTTGCTTTTATAAAGTTTTACTGAAGCACACCTGTCCTTATTTATTTTTGCATTGTCAGTACCTGCTTCACGGTGCAATGCCAAGTTAAATAGCTGCAGGAGAGTCCCTCTGGCTGCAGAGACTAAAGATGTTTACCAAATGGTTTTTTACAAAAAAAATTAACTTGTACACAGCCATCTGTGTACAGATGTGTTAAACTTTTCTCCTCAAGTAAGCAGAAGAGAAACCACACCAAGAAATCAGTCAGAGCTTTTTAAGACCATTGTAGACTAATGACTACAGACTTATGATAAGGTTAGCAATCTCAGAGAAGTAGAAATGGGGAGTGTTAAAGCCTTGTCTAACTGATTATCCCTAAGGGCCAGAACAAAATCCATTTGTATGGGAGCCTCAGTTACAAGTCTGATTTTATGCATTCGTGGGCATCAACCACCTGAACAATGTGCCTTCTCCTTTTGCCTCTCAAGAAAATAGATTTTTTTCTCAAGGAAGAAGAAGGTGATTGAGTTTTAAATGTTGAAACAATGTTACATCCCTGAGATAAAATATACTTTTTTTTATGATGCATTACAATTTATTATATATTGATAGGTTTCATTTTTAAAATTTTAATAGCTTATTTTGCATTTATTTTTGTGAAGGAATTGGCTTTGTTTTTCTCTTTGTATAATATCTTTATTTAATTTTGGTATGACAGTAAACTGGCATTTCTAAAACTGTGTACATATGTGTTAAACTTTTCTCCTCAAATATTTGATAAAATTCATGAAGTGTCTATCCCAAAACTTTCACTATAGAAAGAGTTTTTGTTATAACTGCCTTTTCTTTCGTAGATATAGGGATATTTAGTTGTTTTATTTCCTTATGAGACAGTTAAATTGTGTTTTACAGGAATTTCATCCACTGGATCTAAGTAACTAAACTTACTGGGATTATCTTGTTTCTGATATTGTTTTATTACCCTTTAAATATCTGCCTTATCTGTAGTATCATCCCTTTCCATTCCTGATGTTGATCTTTTATATTATCCCTCCTTGTTTTTCTTGATTATTCTTGGTAAACAGACTCTCTCTGAGGAGGATGTGCAGGGAAGTTCAAAGTCAGGAGGAGGGACAAAAGGGATAGTACAGGAATCTGCAGCCTTCGGCACCTACATCTAGAGCAAACAGTAAACAATGTTTTAACACCCAGCCAGAATAACACAAAAATCTCATACTAAAGGCCTATTTATTTCCGTTCCTATTGTCTAATAGTCTTCCTTTTAACAACAACTACAACAACAACAACAAAAATTGCAAAGTGTACCAGAGACAAAGAAAAGCAGAGTCTAAAGAGTCAAAAGAAGCATTGTAAGCAGACTCAGCTATGACCCTGATGTAGAAATTATCAGACAGAAAATATAAAATTGGTACAATTATTGTGTTAAAAGCGCTAGTGGAAAAAGTAGACAATGTGCAAGAACAGATGGATGTCAGCAGAGAGAAGGAAACACTAGAGAGAATCAAATGAAAATGCAGGAAATCTGAACCATTGCAATAAAAATGGAGAAAACTCAATAGAGCTGACACAACCTAGGAAAGATTTGGTTACCTTGAAGATGGCCCAGCAGAAATTTCCCAAAATGAATGCAAAGGGGGAACATAAGCCAGAATATCCAATAACTGTGGCATAATATAGTAAGATGTAGCACATGTATAGTGGAAACACCAGAAGGTAAAGAAAGAGAAAATGATGCAAAAGGAATATTTGAAGGAAAAATTGCCAATAAATTTTTTAAATTAATCAGAGGCTGAAAACTTCTGATGCAGGAAGCTCAGGTAAACAAAGGGAAAGTAAAAAACTATTATAGAGAAACGATTTTAAGAATTACCATGAACTTATTGTCAGAAACACTGCAAGCAAGAAGAATTAGAAGAGGGTGGAGAGAAATATTTGACCTGTTGAAAGATAAAACCCACAAACCCAGAATTCTGTATCCAGCAAAATTACCCTTCAATAGTGAAGGGGAGATAAAGACTTTCTCAGACAAGACTGTGGGAATTTGTTGTCAGTACACTGGCCCTGCAAGATGTGTTGAAAGATCTTTAAGGAGAAGAAAAACTATATAGATCAGAGTTTCAGACCTATGTGAAGACGAGTGTCAGAGAAGACATAAATGAAGATCAAATAAATTTTGAAAAATTTTTTTATTCTTGATTTAAAAGATTACTGTTTTTTTAAGGTAATAATAGTAACAACGTATTCAGTGATTATAGTAAAGGGATAAATGAAGTGAATGACACAAATGCTCCAGGGGAAAAGGTGGAGGTATTGGAAATTCTTTGTTATAAGGTACATGTATTATAGGTGAAGCAATATGGTGTTGTATAAAGGTAGATTAAATTGCTTAAAACTGTATTTTGGAAACTCAGGCAACTACTAAAAATTTAAAAAAAGTTCTAGTTCACATGCTAAAAGAAGAAAGAGAAAGGAATGGTAAAATGCTCAGTAAATTCACAGAAGATGGAGAAAGAGAAGGCCAAGAAACAAAGAGCAAATGCAACAAATAGAAAACAGTTATAAAATGGTAGATATTAATTTAACTACAACAATAACTACAGAAGGGCCCTAATTTGTAGCAATTGCCAAATTCAGTGATGTAACTATTACTACTTCTTTTGTCTTTATGATTTCAAATGTTTGACAACCAGAAGAAAAATTCCTGGGCATTTAATAACCACCTCTTTCTAATTTTTAGATGCCAGCACACCATTTCACCTCCCTACCTCTACACCTTCAAATATGCTCTCTCTGATGCATTCCTCAGGATAATTGACCACATATATACATAGTGTTAAGAGCTCTAGTGGAAAAGGCTATGTGTATGTGTGTGTGTGTGTGTGTGTGTGTATAAATTTAATCACTTTAATAACAAAGCAATGTAGCTATGTTACATATTATGTATATAATGTAGCTATGCTATTAAAGTGATTAAATTTATATTAATCAGGCATTATTCTGAATAAAATCTCTCTATTGTGTACCTATATATATGTATATATTTTACAATGAGGCTTCAATTTCTCTCTTTATGACAAAAAGCAGTGTTCTATTTTAATTTTCTGGCCTCATTTTCCATACCGTTCCACATATACAAAAGTTAAGGTTGTGCAGGAACATTCATATCATCTCACACTAATTGTAAGTGACATTTCTCCTGTCAGTATTACAAATGTCTTTACCTTGCTAAGAGCAGTAAGACCT